GGATGCATTCCTGTGTGACCTACTGTAGGCAATCCTGCTTTAGCCGGGGAGGGAGGAGTGTTGGGCTTGATGATCTCTGGAGGTCCCTTCCAACCCCTAACATTCTGTGAATCCATGATTCTGTATATTGCCAAAACAGGGACCTCAGCCTGACCAAGGGGGCATGTGCCTGACTGGGTGACAACAAAAAAGTCAGGGTTACCTTTGACTCTGGCTCTGGCATCCAAATTTCATTCTTTGAGATCCTCCCCATACTGTGCAATATCTAGAAGATAAAATTATTTGTACTATGTGAGAAAAAATTAAAACCCAGACTACTTCCAGTTTTGGAAAAGCAGAGCAAGTCAGAGCAAGGTGATATTGATAAAAGGCATAACTATGACTAGCTGAAAGCGTTTTGGACCAGAAAATGTATAGTGATGTCTCTGTATCAGTAAAGAGAGAAGGAGCAGGCAGTTTCCATAATTTGTGCAAATAAATCACAACTGGTCATCAGTCATGTGCCTAACCAGCATGTTAAGGATAAAAGGCCAATTTTACAGAGCAATTTGTAAAAAGTAGGACTTCATTCAGAAATCCACATGAACTATAGCTTCTCTAAATGATTATTTAAAAAAAAAAATCTGAGTACATGATATGACAGTTTGAGAAATAGCAAGGTGAGGTTACCGCCACACATTCAGAACACAAAGCCTGTTAGGAGCGATGCCATTTGGATCACCAACTAGAAAGATGAGAGATACAACATTGGGGCTTTCAAAGCATATGATTATGAAGTTATCTCTCAGCTATTCAGGCAGTACAATGCTCATCAAGGATTTTTCTTGAGAATAAACATTATATCATGGAGGTTCTTGGGGACAAATGACTGTCTCCAGAAGATACAGATAACCGTCTTTGTAACTATGGCTCACGAGCATGGAGAAAAGAAAAATCAGGTGACTCGAAACAGAGCAAGTAATGAGGATTATAAGTAGAATATGACATTTTGTCAAACTGAAGCAAAGGGCTGATTTTCCCTTAAATAACAGCTCTGTGGCTCTGCCATACAGCGGTTTTAACTGTCGTGTTCACCCTTGAGTTTCTTTTTTCCTCCTCCCTCCTTCCAGACTTTTATAAAGGGATTTCAGTGTGACTGGGAACCAAGCCCAATGCATGTCATTCTGAGGAGATTTAGACATTATCAGAGCTGCCCATTATGAATTCATAAAGCCAAGCTAGTGGTACTCTCTCATAAAAGGAGAAACAGAAGGGATAGATCAAAAAGAGAACAATGCTCAGATTTCCAGATTACTGCACAGGAAATAGCTGTGAGCATTTGTAATGACTTAAATTACTGTTAAAATATACAGTGAATAATTTGTTAGAAATTGTAGTAGTATATCTAAAGGCAGCATCAGGTTGGAGGGTTTTTTCCTCTAGACACGAGGTATATGGCGTGAGCTTCATTTTAAGTCCCCAGTGCAGCAACACACTGTGTAATGGTCTGATTTGGATGATTCTTGGCTTCACTTTGCTCAATGACAAAGCAGAGGCTTTGGTTCACATCCTTTTCTCGGATTCTTCCACATCGATTCTAGGAGCCTCTGCACAATGACGGGGTGTGATGCACAAAATGAGACCCTCCAAGCTGTACTTACTCCTTCTTAACATTGTAATAGAGACTCTTAAAGCAAACCAATGGTCTGTACCTCTCTGGCTGCTCTCTCTCCTGCCTGTACAGCCCCCTCCATATATCCGCTCCATTGGGTAGCTGTCTCGGTGCCAGCAAAGTAGATTCTGTCAACGGGCTGGCGAATGATCCTTCAAAATAAATGGAGAATGTCAGATGACAAGTAACGGGAAGGCGATGATTCTTCTAAAAACAATTTATAGGCTTTGATGGAGTGCTCAACTTCAGTTCTCCAGAATTGCTGGGGAGCATGGTGGAACAAGCAGTCCCTGTGTGACCACTACTTGCTTCTGTACACAGAACTCAAGATCTGAGGGAGAGAAAATCTAAGGCATAAATCAGTGTGCCCTGTTTCCATGCAAAATAATATGAGCCTTATTTTAGTGCTGGGATAAGGGATAATCCTAACAGCCTCCAGAAATGCAGTGCAGCTGGTAGATTTATGTCTTCTGCATGGCAGCTTTGTTGTTATCTTGTGAATTGATGTGTTTTGCAGTGATAGGTCACTAATACCAGCTTCTACTGGGAAACTGGACCTGCCTAGTTGCAAGTCCTGCCAAAGCGAGACAGCAGCTGAATGCTCTGGCATTCAGGGAGTTGCCTTCACCCCACAGGTGAAGCTGTGCAAAGCCGCAACAAGCATCCTGGCTGACCCAGCTACAGGTAATGAGCTCCCTTTCCCATGGAAAGATGTGCTTGCTCTAAGGGCTCCCACCTAACCCTCGATTAGGATTTCCCTGTCAGCCTGACACTAGCTTCCTCAGGTCAGAGGCCTCACCTATCACTAACCAGGTGTTCAGATAAATTAGCAGCCCAGAGGCTGTGTACAGGATAACTTGTTCCCACTTCCATCTTGGCACAGAGGCAGGGTGTAACTCCATGATGGACATGCTAAGGAGCTCATGCTGTGATGTGCTACATGGTTTATCTGGTCTTTGGCTATGGCTGTTCCTATTACTTGCTGAACTGCACCTTCCACATGCTTTTCAGTGATATATTTAGTATTAATCAGTATTATCTAACACATTCCTTTAGGAATACAGCAGCTCTGCATGGGGAGGGCATGGAAGGCTTTGCTGGGTGGGAAGAGAGAATGAGTTTTCCTGTAAGAGTTTTGTGTCTTCCCCTTGTGATGTGACTCAATGGGCTTCACCAGAACCTGGTGCTCCACCCACACAGTTAACGGAGACTTCATCTGTTCAAGACATGTGCCTCCAAGGTCTTAGAAAACATTAAAGGGATCTATTGCAAATACTGCGTAGTGGCAAACATGGTAAATAACTTAGCGGGAAAAGGTTTCCTGGCAGTAGCAGGTTCTTTTGTGACTGTGTTTTGTTTCCTTGAAAGTAACAAGAGAAACTCTACTCTTAGTAAAGTCACTAGAAAAATCTTTGTTAGCTGGGAAGTAGGGGAATGGAAAGAGGGTTGGAGTTCCCCTAATATGCTACATATGCCATACGTTCATTGCATAAGGTATATTGTTGTTGTCTTGGGTTACAATATGTAACCAA